AAGTTCAGTGACGCAGATAGTGACGATTCTCTCCGGCCAATCCATGACCAGCACAGTTTACACGTCACGTTTTGGTAACGGTACGGTTCACTTGGAACCCCAACCGAGGTGGTACTAAAAAAAGTATCAGGTACTGTACCCAGTGGAAAATCCCCCAAAAGTGAACCGTACCGAGCCGTACCATGCCGTGCCGTACCATGCAGTGGAAAAGCGCCATCTTCAAAATGTGAGAGACCACAAACATGAGGAAAAACAATCCTAGATTTAAAGGAACACACCATATCATGATATCATTGCGCCTGTTGCACCCATGGTACGGCAGCAAAGTTCCTTGATTATTATGCCGGAATGAGAGTATAGTTCCTAGCCACATCGGCCTAGAAAATCGCAACTTTTCATCTTAGTACACAATGTAACTACAGAAGAGTCAAGTTTTAAATAGGAAAAATATAGAAACTCTTTGGTCATTTTTGAGCGAGATGCTAATGGTCTAATCAGATTCAATGATCTACGCTAAGCTACAGCTAAAAGTGCTACCGCCAGACCCGGAGATCGGCTGAATGGATTCGAAAACGGTAAAACTCAACTGTTTAACTCTAGGGGAGTTGGAAAATTAGCCTATTTTCAAAAATAGTGGAGTGTTCCTTTAACCGTTTTGCTCCTATAGTGTGTGGTGTTTTCGGGGTCCCCCCCCCTCACACATCAGGATTTCTGATCGTAAATATTCAACATGTTGAATATTTACGATTCGCGATCGGGGCGCCTCCGACGTTCTTCCGAGCAGAATCAGTCACTCTTAACACACCTCACACCACAGGAAAATCTGATAAGATCATCTTTAGAACACCAAGATAATCGGGACATTAGCTAGGATTGTCAGAAGGGGAGAAATCGGCCCAAAATCAGCCCGATTATCTTGTGGTGTGTACCCAGCATTAGTTGTTATGACACAAAAAAGTCTCGATACCTTTTAGGTTCTGAAAATTCGATAACTAATGCTCTGACTTTCAGACATTTTTAAGTGTAGCTTTAGCTTAAGTCTCCAAACACCGTTTGGGGCCACTGTACATTAAAACCCTGATAGAAGGCAGTTTCAGGTCCTCACTGGAGAGCCGAGCACTGTCTGGATAATCTGCCAGCTAAGCTTTTCTGTAACCCTATGAGCTCTCATAGAGTGGTGAATTCCCCTTGGACAGGCTGTTACTCTCTCTTTCTGCTGGACTGGAACACAAGGCCTGTTACTGAGAGAGTGCCAAATTTACCACAGGCTTTCTGAACACTGAACACCAGTGTTGGAAAATACTTCAGATTTTTAGCCTGTCAGTGCAGAAGGGGATTATCATGACAAAAATAACTTTCTTGTTAAAAAGTAACAAAGCTGGCAGGGCCACTGAGGTCCGTGAGCCAAGTGTGCGCACGGCTACGAATAGACCGCAGTAACGGGGACACTTGTTAAAGGTTAATGGTTTTCTTCCGCAGGTACATGGGGTTGTAAACCTTACAAATGGAAATCCCCCTGGCAACAGCACAGATGCATCTCACTCAATATTTTCTGGCCTAAAAACATTCCTCACGTCAGAAAATCCCTGTGATTGCTTAATGTAGGTAGGAGTTCACGTGCACATATTTGTCTTCATAAACGGATAGCTCTCTGATAGTTCACACATTCCACACATATCAAAACGTAGTCTAGTAATGGGTTGTCCTTAGTACACATGAAAGGACGCTCATGTAGACATGGCGTTAAGTTTTTTGCAGGAAATGCAAGTGGCGTTTGCCTATGCAAACATGACTCTACAATGTTCTATGGGGGGGTGGGGGGATTGCCAGTGCATTGATTAGATATTGTTGGCATGTTGCTAGGGGTGTTTTGCGTGGTTGCTTAGTCAAAGGAGCCCACCCACAAGTCGCTATGGCATTCTGAACTCTGTAAATGAGTAAAATCCCTCCTTCAAAGGAAGTATGGGGGATTTACTGGCTGTTTTATCTTCCTGCAAGACAAATTTAACATCTTATCAATTAGGCTACATTTAGACTGCAGGAAAAAGCAGCCCAAATCTGAGTTTTTGCTCATATGACTCAGACTTGTTTTTTTCCCTTCTATAACAGTGTGAACAGCAAACACCACATGGAATCCGAGGGTTTTTTTAGTTTCTGATTTTGGCCACATCCATGTGGTAATAATCAGATACAGGTCTGATGTCTGAAATGTGACCTCAGTCTGAACAGTCAAATCGGAATTCATGAGACTTTTATGTCACTCTCGAATGACATTTCATCACAATTCTGCACTGATAGGTGGATTTTACTTAGCGGTAGCTCTTTGGTCACTCACTATATATGGAAGACATCCATGACTGTAGTCAGTGAAGGGACAGGGAGGTGTAAGTATTACGGCGATAGCTTTATATAAGCAAAACTTCAGGTAAAACTATGAAAACTACAAAAGCTTCCTTTCTTCTCATCCTCATCTGTGCCCTCCTTATTGCCTGCACACAAATTCACTTGATTCCCCAGCACGTCAGCTTATAAATGAATGTGTAAACACTGATTTCAGTGTCGATTCCCTATGACAAGGAGCTGTGTTGTCTTTGTTCTTGTACTTTTGCACATGTGGATCAGTTTGGGACCATGACCATTGCACACTCAAATCTGATTTCAAACTCATTTAAAAAGTAAATAATCAAAATAAAAAAAAGATCTGAACAATAAATCAGACTTGAGCACTTAAGCTTGCAGTGTGAACATCTGCATAGAGGCCATTCACACAGAATGTGTTCTTGAGTTTAAAGATGTGAGGCACAGTGCAGCAGAATGGAAAAGAACGCAAGGTTTTGAGACGTTTTCAAAACTGAACTACTTTTAACTTGACGTGACATCTTAAAAATGTGGAAAAAGCTGAAAAAAGCTAATACATACATCTAGAGCATTTTTACATAGGAAAAATAATTAAAAAGCAGCATAGGTGAGCACAAAATCATAGACAAGTAGAAAAGATACTGGTAATATGGACATTCATTTCCATAAACGGTTGGTTCCTTTTCACATTATTTCTTTGTTTAGTACAGATATTTAACATAGTAAGGCTAAATATTGTATTGAATTTATACTTCCTTTGAAAAGACTTAAAAAAATTTTTGGAACATATTAACTGAAATTATCTCACCATATGGGATTCCTTTAATTTTTATTTATTTTTAAAATATTGCTTTATTTAAAATAAAAAGTTAAGAAGAAAAAAAATCACTACTCGTAAAAGTTAGGAATCGGCACTAATATATTCTTCAGGATTCCTATCCCTAAGTCACACTATTTGAGATATCAATCTTGTTAGCAGCTCAAAAGGTGACATACCAAAGGGTTTGTTCAACTCTACCTATGAGCAACAGTAATAGTGATTCTGATGCTGGCCATAACAAGCACTACTAAAAGTAGTATGACAATGTATTTCCTCACAAATGCCTCTGTAGAGTCACATTACTCCTTGTAAGCTTTAAAAATGAGTAGTAACCTTTCACCATCAGACACCCGGAGGGCCAGTCCATAACCATGAGAAATGTTGCTACACGGTAAAAAACCATTCCAACGTTTGAGAGATTTCATTCCAAGGATCCGGGCTCTTCCCCAAGGGTGTGAGCTGATGTAATTTTAGCACTCATTTATCTTAAATGAGGAAGTTTTCAGGTCTGGTTCTTGAGAACGCTCTTGAGAACAGCTCAGCGTGCGTGTCTGATCAGGATTCTTTATTATTGTAATTATGATGCACCGTGGCAGAAGGCTCAAGGAGAACTTGTCTCTCTTTCCCCTCCCATGACTTTCTCAGGGCGTCTGACAAAGTATGAAACATAACCTACAGCACTGGATCTAGCAGCTTCAACATGTGTGCCGTGCAAACCATAGAAGTACAAAATTGCTAGGTTACAGAACGCACACTCTGCTGATCCTGTATTGGCTATAAATCTGTTGCAGCTGCTGTATACAGATTCACACAGAGCGCATTCATGCGTGTGTGTGTGGCTGCATATTTCTCAGGGAGAGCAGCAAAGGCCTTCATTCCGTGTTGTTGTTTGGTCACTAGGTGTGAGCTCAGCTCCCTGGCAACTGACACCGTCGTACGGATCCAAGAAAACTCCGTGATGGTCGAGGGAGAAAGAGCAAGCTCTGCAAATGTCGGCCAAATTCCACACTCGCCAAGCTCCCTTTGCACTCATTGTGAGATAGGCACACTGCTGACAAAAAGAGTTGGGTGGAGGTCTGGGATCTCCAGAGGAAAAACACACACACTCACACATAAGCTCAGGCTTTGATGAGCGAAAGTAAGTGGAGATCCTAGACAACCAGGGCGTATAATCTGTGATGCCCTTTTGTATGGGTTTCAGTGATCTAAATGAACACCATGCCTCTGACATCACTTCTTTTTTAATATATGCCTCTTCACTCATTAAATCAGACTCACATCAATAACTCATTTGTCGAAATGACAGCAATAAATAATTAAGAAAATAATTTTTTTCTGTGAGTGAATGTTTTGCTAATGTTCAGATATGTACTGGCCCTGTGGTGCTTCTGGAAGAAAAAACAAGCTGGAAAAAACAGGCAGCTTCAAGAAAGAATGCAGCTTGATGGTGGACGGTCTGCCTTCACCAGAAATATGCCGCAGTTTCCTCTCATCTTTCAACAAACCAGGGAGAGGCTTCCTCCTTTTCACTCTCTCTCCACTCTCTATCTTTTTTCATGCATAATAACTTTCACATGTTATTTCTCTTATTTTGTAGTTACATTCAGTTCTTTTGTAAAATGGTAAATTAAAGTCTGTGTTTGGACCTGTGGAAAAACAACATTAAAATCGCAGAGTAATAGATGTTAATAGCTACTCACAAATAAAGGCAAGAGTGTGCATGTGAGAACACATCTGTGTGGCCTACGCACTCACCACACCAGAGGTAAAAGAGTGATGGTTTGTTTTGAGAGGTGTTTATTTTGCATTTATCCATTAATAAAGTTTGTATTTATTTTGGTGCAACTGCAGCATTATTCTACTGGCAGACTATGACTCTAGCTTAATACAGGCTGATTGATTGTAATATTTGTTTATTTGACCAAGACTAAATTCATCTTGCCTTAAAGGGATAGTTAACCCCAAAATGTTAATTCTGTCATCATATACTCACCCTCATGTTGTTCCAAGCCTGCATGACTTTATTTATTCTATAGAACATAAAAGAAGATCATTTGAAGAACTGTTTTTGTCTATACAATGAAAGTCGGACCCCTAATGACTTTCATTCTAGTGACCAAAAAACACAAAAAATATCTACTTTTGGTGTTTCAGAAACAAGAAAGTCACACAGGTTTAGAACGACATGAGGGTGAGTAAATATGACAGATCAGTTGAGCGTTTTGTTTAGGAATCAGTGTTGCACTACAGACCTACAATAGTCAAAGACCGATGCATATTGCATAGTTTGATTTTGAAACATTTAGTGAAGTAAAACATTTTTTAAATATTCTAACCATTTAAACTAACGGTTTTCTATTTGAATATATTTTAAAATGTCATTTATTCCTGTGATGGTAAATCTGAATTTTTAGCATCAATACTCCAGTCTTCATGTCACATGATCATTCAGAAATCATTCTAATATGCTGATCTTCTGCTCAAGAAACATTTCTTACTATAAATGATTACAAAAATTTGGAAACGGTGATAGATTATTTTTTTCAAGATTCCTTGATGAATAGAAAGTTAAAAAAAACAGCATTTATTTGAAATAGAAATCTTAAGTGTCTACTGTCACTTTTGATCATTTTAATGCATACTTGCTGAATAAAAGTAATTTTAAATAAATAAAAAAAAATACTGACTGACTATCTAAAAATTATTACTAACCCCAAACCTTTGAACGGTAGTGCATAATTGAGATGGTCTATCCTATTTAAGCCAACCGAAGCTGCAAAGCTTAAAACGTCACTCAAAACGTCTGGCTAAATGAGACTCAGGTCGACTGTGCCACATGGGTGCCGAATGCACACAAAAGACATGTCTGTGGTGGTTTCATGGGTTTGTGTTTGCACAAAGCAAGTGTTTCTCAGGTGAGTCATGCTGGTGGTTTGCAAAACACACGTCTATGCAAGTAGGTATTTGATGTCGGAGAGGTTGGAGTGGAAAGTTTTCGGAGAGAAGTGAATGGCTGATTGACGGGAGGCGTGTTTGCGTAAGATGTTGGATAACATACAATGTGTTTCTAAACTGGGTAATAACATCTTGTGTACAACTGGTGCAACTCACCTGGGTGGATTTGTCCCTCATGCAAGGGGCACAAGGGGCGTGGTTGGCATCCCGGGGCCAGTGTCCAGACAGGTAAGGGGCCGTGAGCGCGTCCAAAGAAGAGGTGCGACGAATGCTACCGTTATTGCTGGTGGTATACCAAGACCCTGCCACAGGAAGTCTATGCTTGTCTGCAAGACAGCCAGAAAGCACAGAGGAGATAAAGAGGGGAAGGAAGGATGGGGAGGAGAGACAGGGGTCGAATGAAAGTATATGAATGAGACGTGTGGGGGAGAATAAAACAGATGGGAGGGAAACAGAAGAAGATCATACGTTAGAGGCTGCATGTTTTGAACACAATACGTCATCACAGTAAGTGCTCAGAGACGCTCCTCAAGTGTGTGAGATTACACCAGCTAGAGTGTAAATGTCCGCTGGACTGGTGGTGATGAATACTAAAACCCAGCAGATTGAGACGGAATTAGTCTGGTGTCCAGTAGCTCTTTTAATAAAACTAAAGCTGATTAACTGCTCGACTGGCGTGGAGGAAGCGGCCCGCGTGACCTACATTTAGTGCGTCTCCACAAGTAATTGCCCCCTTCACTATTCTCTCGGCTCTCTTTTTCTCTAATTTGTTCTTTCTAGCACACAATCGATGGCTTTCTCTCCCTCTCTTGTCATTCTGAGTCTTTGAAAGACTACTCTTTTATATAAATTCACACTATTGAATATACGGCGCAGATGTACAGTAAAAAAGTACAGCTTGCTGTTTTGTACCGCTCTAAAGAGATGACGTCTGAGGGATTTTACACAGCAAGTTCAGCCTATGTGCTTTTCAGAACAGTTTTTTTAAGAAAGTCCCATTCTCTTTTGCCACACAGGTGACATCAGTCTTTGTGTGTGTGTGTCAGGGAAACAAATCAGAAGGGAACAATTAAATTTGTTTGCCTCCAACAGTCCAATGGGAATGTGAACACTCACCTCAGTAATAAAACAGCTACTACTCTTCACTGTTGGGTGGATCTGCTGTTATTTTAAGACAAAACTACAGAAAACTCCAGTCTTACAAAAAGCAGAACAGGGATCTTGCATTACGTTTTTTTTTTTTTTTAAATAGTGCTGGCTTGACTTTTTTTGTGTGTTGTACACATTGAGGAAAGTGAGAGAGGATCTAAAGAGGAGGAACCTGTAAGGAATTCTGGGGGAAGTCATGCGAGAAAGACAGAGGAATTGGCTACATAGCTCAAGTTGCAATCTCTACACGGTATGCTTACACTCACTAGGAAAATAAGTGCATGTGCAAGGCTCCGAAACAACCCTCAATGCAATGTGAATGGTAAATCTTCTAGCTAACTCAAGCTCAATTTACCGGATTAATGAATTCTGAAATGAAAATCTGTTTCAGAACACAATTCATAAAGCAACATGAATATATGCCGCATTCTCAGTGTTGCCACATGGGGCGCTCTAGTGAGTATTAGCATACAGAGATGTGTTCCACAATAAGATTTCTGTCAAGTTATAGTTTGAAAATAATCTTAGTAAGTTTTTTCTTGACATGTATCTAGCTACCTGAATAAAAATTAACAATAGTTATCGATACTCATCTTTTACAACTGGAATAATGGCTTTACTGATGCTTTTGAAAATTGGTAACTAAATAATCTTTACATTACAACAATAAAAATATAATATGCTTTAAATATTGTATGAAAATACTAATATTAATAAAATTAATAATAATAATAATAATGACGATGATTTGGCATTGAAATCAGTTGTGCCGCTTAACGTTTTTGTGGAAACAGTGATACATTTTTAAGGATTCTTCCAATGTAAAAGTTCAAAAGAACAGCATTTATTAGAAATAAAAATCTTCTGTAACATTACAAATGTATTTACTGTCACTTTTATTCAATTTAATGCATCCTTGCTGAATAAAATTTATAATTTCTTTTAAAAAAATCTTATCTCAAAAATTTGAACTGAATATAATTAGAAAATTGGAAATATTGGGCAGAAATATCAATAGCATCGGTCAGTCTCTATTAATGAAATTTTAGGTTAACTGACATAGACATCAAGCCTCTTTGAGTACCGAGGTTTCACAGTAACGCAGGAATGCATGGCAAGTATGTACAACAGGACCACACGCTTGCAATGCATTTGCCAAACATTCACATCTGTGTTTGCGTTCTTGTATAGTGTTTGTTTCTGACCTAACAGCGCAATGATCTACACCTAAATGACTGAAAAAGCTTTATGTGTGTGTATATATATATTTATTTATATATTTTTTTTTTGACGTGACATGTGGCCAAGTATGGTGACCCACACTCGGAATTAGTGAACATCACAAAACAAACTACTAAAGTCACAAAAAAGCTTTTTGTTTAATGTCACCATTGTTCGAGATTCATGCGCTGATTCTTGATGTTTGTGAGAGTCAAAAAGGCAGCTCAAACCAATTTCTATATAATGAATGAAAAACAAATCTGAATATCTGACTGTCATAACTCATAACATCACAAGATTACTGTAAATAATGCAAAACTAACAGCTAACACACTCAGAAAGAAGACTCTGGATGAGATCAGTGAATCAGGCCACTATATAATCATTGAATCATCATCAATAAGTAAAACTTCATCTGATCAGATTTTCTCTCTCGGAATTTTTGCTATAACAAATGTGCTTTAGAAACACACAGTTACAGCAGCCGGAGAAAAAACAGATGTTAAAAAGTCAAGGGTCAAGAGCCCAACTAAACCTAATTAAACCAGTAAACTGAACCTCTGTTAATTCTTAATACGAAGTTTTGTGTGAAAGCATTGAACTGAGTGAAGATGCTGAGATCTAGAGAGATCTGTTAGTATTTATTGTTCTGTTGCTGCCAGTCATGTGACATTTTATTATTATTTTTTTTATTTATTAATTTATTTATTTTTACAGTGAAGATGTTTGATCATAATAATTCAGGAAATGCCTGTAGATAAACAATGTTAGTTTTGTTTATGGTTTTTGTTTGGCAACTGTTGCTGCCAGTCATTTGGCTGTTTTATCATCTAATGTTTTTGTTATTGTATTAATTACAGATTATTTTTGTAAATTTAAAATGAAAGAAAACAAACTGAAAAAAATCAGTTATTTTTTTTAGTAAAATTATGATTATTTTACAGTGTACACATCCACATTTGAAGAGAATATATATGTTTTCTGAATCCATGGCTTACTTTTCGTCTGTGGCGAAACTTGCTTTCATCAATGTGTACACAAATGTTGAGCCCACCAACTTTTTGTCCTCCTTTTTTCCTGAGCCTCCGCATACTTCTCACACATACACTTCGCAATTTCACTACTATTTGAGATGTCATCTAGCATCATATCCACCTGTCGCATATGGAGACCCTGTGAAAATCTAAACACAATGCAATGCAATATTGCAGTAAAAGGACAGAATAAAAAATTTAATGTGCAGACAGTTATGGAGGAAATGGCACTAGAGATTACAGACAATATAAACTTACCTGTGAATATACTTCATCCAACTAAAAAGGCTTGCATGGGAATGGGAAAAAATGGACTTGGTCCTTATGCTTCTCCTGTTTCGTCCACATGACTTCTTGCACTGCCTGCAAATATATATATGAGTATAATATATAAATAGTATAATATTCATCATGTAAAATACATTCCTGCAGGAATAGCTTAAAAAAA